GGACGCCTTCCTGTTTGATGTACTCTAGATGATCCTGCTCTGGCAGGGGGGTTGGACTAGATGAACTTTCAAGGTCCCTTCCAACCCCTATGATTCTATGATTCTATGATATTATGATTTTTTTAACATGCCATTTTAAAGCCAAATAAGTAAAGACCTCTTTTCTTTGTCTTTTTTTGTTATTGCTAAACACCATAAAGCACTTGTAAGCTCAACTCCGCTAAGATTTGGTGTGAACTTCTTTGTTGAAAATGAGAATTTCTTCTTATCACTTGAAACCTCACCCAGCTCACACACACAAATACAGACATGCTGCCTGCCTCCACTTATACTGGAGGCACACAGTTACATTGGTACATATATACATTTGTACTGTATACATTTATACATTTATCACTGTCTAACTAATTTTGGCACTTTTCAGAAGTATATAAAGGACATCTTGTATATGCAGTGTTCAACAGCAGTTCCATAACTGATATGAGTACAGAGCCTCAGACAGCTGATAGTGCAGTGGTCTATTCTGACACACCAACCCTGTGAAGTTTCTGAGTAAATTCTTCCTGTTTACTTCAGAAATAGCCTTTCAGCTAGGTATACTAAAAATTCACTGATCCACTTCACATGATGATGTCTTAATAACAAAGGGTTTTTTTTCTTTAATATCAAAGCTTTTTGCTTGCATTTCTTCCTCAACATCTAGCATAGACTTCTGATACCCAAGAGTACATATTCTTCATGGGTCCAAAGACAGGAGGCTAGTTTAGGCTTTGAAATGTCCTTGACTGGTGCCATCACTGTTATATCTGAGCAGCAATTACAAATTAAAGCAAACAAAATAGGAGGAAAGCAACTGCAGAAGTCTGTTAGAGATTCAGAGGTAGTTATTCTGTCTTTCTTCCCAGGCCGTGCTTCCTGCAGTGCTTCTGGGGATCCACATTATAACACTTTTGACCACAGAGTTCATAATTTCATGGGAAATTGCACTTACACCCTCTCCAAAGTGTGCAATGTCTCTGAGAGGCTTCCATACTTCAATGTGGCCACAACGAATGAGCACAGAGGAGCCAATACCAAAGTCTCTTACGTGAAGTCGGTGCAGGTGGAAGTCTATGGCAACCAGATTTCCTTGCTGAAAAACAAGAAAGTGAATGTAAGAAAATACTTGTTTAACAGACATGTATTTTAAATGGAAATTTAGATAATTAAATGTTTTCTTTGTAGATATTATAGCAAACTTTCCCTTTTTATTATTTAAATGTACCTCTTTTGATGAGATGCCCAACAAATTTGCTCAGATGAGGCGTTCTTTAATTAATTCCAGTTCCCTTGTGCACAAGATCATATCTTTCACTAATCTATTCTGGCTGCTGGTATTTGTATGAGTCCCAGAAGTCACACACTCGCTCTTACAACTTGCTGTACAGGTGAATGGCAGCAGAATGAACCTGCCTGTATTTATTGAAAAGAAAATCAGTATTCAAAGCAGTGGTGGATATGTTCTTTTGGAAACTGACTTTGGACTGTGGGTGAGATATGATGGCAATCATTATGCAGAAGTCTCTGTGCCCTCTGATTACCGTGGTCTGCTCTGTGGCCTCTGTGGTAAGTCATAGACATAGTCACTTTTTAGTGAGCTATGCAGGCTGGTGATTAACGTTTCTTCTTAGACTGTCATAATTATTTTACACACAGCTACTCCTTCTCAAACGGACTAGAAATTGCAGCAGTGAAGAAAACATGCTAGAATTTTTCACTTTCTGAGATCTGTTACTTGCAAAGGTCCTGGTAACATGCTATCCATTTGGAATGTTGTGAGGTGTAACTATAAATAATATTAATAGCCAAATTAAAAAAAAATCACTTCAGTTCTACAGTTTAAAGTTAGGAAGGGTAACGATTTGCATACATCTACTCAAGAATTCTACAAATGCTTTTTATGTTATTTACATTCTGATGTATTTGTCTTCTGTTCGGTGTGGGGAATGCTATACCATTTCATTTTGTGAATCATAAAAACTTGAAGCTGTTTCTACAGAAGAAAGCAATCTTCAGAATAGCTTACTGTCTACTTCCTCAAGCTTTCTGGCTGCTGTTTTCCTGTGCTATTTTAGGAGGTATTTACACCTGAACAATCATGTTTATATGATCAAAGGGGGAAAATAAAAAGAAGAACTAAAAGAGAGAAAAGAAAAAATAGACTACTAAGGCTTATTTTTACCTATTTTTTATTCCACCTAAAAGAGGCAGTGTCTACATTAAACCAAAGCAATGACAAAGATCCAATATGAATAATCCTGAGCTGACAGACTTCCTGAATAAGAAAAAAACCTCATACTTTATTTCCAAAATTCAAATACCACAAAATATTAAGTGCTATATATAATACAAAACACAGAGGTCTTTGAGTTCTGTAAGAAAGGTCAGACACAAAGGGCACATTCTACCACGGTCTGTAAGAAATTCTGTTGCAATAGGATAGCAAAATAAACGAGTCACAGGAGGCTTATGTAGCTAATGAGAGTAGGTGCTTATGGGAATTAGCAGTGACCAGTAACTTTTCATCAGCAGTGTTGCTAATGCCTGAACCTGAGCAGATTTAGTTGGAACAACACTCTGAAATCTAGGTGATCAGATGAAATTTACTTCAGGATGGAAACAGGACTGTAGAAATTGCAAAAATAGCGCTTTTTTTGAGTTTCTGATTATTCTTTTATTTGGATCATCTGAAATTTCCCAGTTTAATTATCTCTCCATGGATTTTTCACACTTTTAATTCAGGATATCTGCCAAAGAACATAATGGTGCAAATAACACCATCTGATTTTCAGTTCAACATTCTACAGGTAGGATCCAGGGAAATTAGTTGGGGTTTTTTAGGTAAGCAGTTGTTTCATGTATGCAGTGTGATCTAGTTACAGATAACAACTTACAGTCTTCTTGCTTCAAGTCTACAAGACTCTGAGCAGCAGCTCTTATCAGTGGTCAAAGTCTAAAACACAGTGAACTCTGATTTTGCCCAGTACACATTGACGTTGCAATATACTTTCATTGTATTTTATTTTATGGCCTGAAACCTAGGTTTGCTCTACATCTGTGAACATGTGTCCCATAACTGTCTTTTTACCTTCCCAGGTAATTATAATGGTGATCCAAGGGATGACAATATAAAGCCCAATGGTGAAATTGCAAGTGGTTCCACTGATCTTGGAGAAAGCTGGCTTGTACCTGAGAATAACACCATGTATGTATATTGATTTATATCACTTGGTATATGCTAATCAAACTCTACAAAATCAAATATCTATCCACTCACCGGCTTTGTCGTCTAGTACCTTTTTACATCTTCTGACTGACCATCAGAAGTAGGGAACTGACCCTTTACATTAAATAGGGAATGAGAAGAGGGTTTGTGTCCTTTAAGTCTTGTTTTACCAAAGCAGGAGCTGTCTGCTGAGTGTCAGGGGGGATGGGACTCCAGTCCAGCTCTCTGATTGGAAAACAGAATGGATTTGATCCCATAGCTCTTTTTTTTCATCTAAGAATAAGCCTTTGATTAGCCCAGAAGGCATAAAAAAGGGAGTCCATTCAATGATAGGGCTGACATCAGTTTTTCAAAGAAACTGGATAAAGTCTTGTGACTGTAATAAAATACACCCTGTTATGGAGGGTTGTCATGTGTCAGTCTTCCACTGAAAATCTGATAGTAAGAGATGTGAAAAACACAGCTGATTTTGCTTGCTTTCCCCAGATGCACCAGTGGGACAGAAGAGCAATGTGATCCTGTTCTGGAGAATGAAGCAAAGAAGGATACAGCATGTGGCATGATCACAGACCCAACAGGTACTATGTTGGTAGTTCTCTGTGAGCCATGTGATGGAGCACTACATAGCTTGTGTTGTCTCCTAGGCCATTGTTCTGAGCTCATACTGGAAGCATGTAAAACCTCCAGTGTGAATGGCCATCACAAAACTCATAGATACTTGGTCAGGATGTATCAATCATTCAGAGAGTATCAACATGTCCATGAAGATTATCTGAGATTGTGTGCAGGGGGCCACAGCTGCTCTGTGCATTATAGTCACTTACACACAGCTTGCTAAAAGAAATAGTTCAGAGAGCATTGCATCCTGCATGTGTTCCCTGCACTGGGCAGCCCCTGCAGTTATCTAGAATTAATGACTTGCCTAGCCAGCAACTCTTAATTTATGCAAGACATGTTGTATCAATCATGCAAAAAAGAACAAAGTCTGACCCAGAGGGCCAGGTCTCAGTGTGCATGCTCAGTTTCAAGTGCTGAGTTAACTCGATAAAAAACATTAGCCTGGAGTACTCACAACACTTTGGCTGTGACAGAAAATAGATGGTGGCGCTGATCTTATCATTCCCAAACTTTTATCTGTCCTTCCATATATCTTTCTTGATTTACACAGGAATCTTCAAGGATTGTCATACCAAAGTGCCTCCAGAAAATTTCTTTGCAAACTGTGTTTACGACATGTGCTTCACTGGTGGGCAGGCAACGTCCATATGCTACGGACTGCAGGCCTATGCTGAGTCCTGTGTCAATGCTGGGATATGCATCGAGTGGAGGAATGCTACTCTTTGCCGTGAGTCTTGTCATTTATAAAATCTCTCCTGGGTTTAAACTCCGAAAGTATACACATTCTCCTCTACCTTTTTCATGCGTGTTAGTTCATTTTATGTAATGTTTTGAGTATAGTTCATCTTTCGTCATGTCTTAAGCCTGCTTCAATTTCAGTACCATTCCAGCATTTGTATAAAATACTAATTTTCAAGAATATTTGAAAATTACTTACCTACTCGTAGGTCTAATCCTTAAATTTGTAATAATTTACTATTAGTTTCTTCACAAAGTTGGATTACATTCAACTGTGTCTTATGTGAGCTTCTGCATTGGGGAAATAACTATTGCTTTGCTCCACTGAAAATCTCCCATGCCCAGTGTAAGAAGATAGTCCTCCACAGACAAATGCTATTGATGGCTTTTGATTAAAAAGCTAGTTTAATAAGAGACCTTGAGAAACAGCTGTTTTGAGAAAGTTTACAAGAATTTGTATGTAAGCCAGTGAAATAAAGTATTTATCTCCTGATTAATTCTCTTCAGAATTAAGAAAATTCATATCATTAACTCATATTTCTTAGAATAAAGCTTTCCAGGGTTTCCACTGGTGCTGATTTTATGCAGCAATGGGCAGCTTTCTGCTTGCCAGATGTCTTCTGAAGGACCTTTATATCCACAAAGTACACACCCGGAGAGTAAAAAAGTCCTCTTAAGATCAACCACACTGAAGTAAACCATAATTGCTCTCTTTGTTTTTGTCTTTTACACTAGTTTTGATTGTACCAGTTGCCACTATATTACCTTCTGCAGATTTACCACTTTTCTTTTCTTTTTCTTTTTTTTCTGTGATCAGCAATTAGCTCTGCATTTAAACTAAACCATAAAAGGAAAAAGAATTACTGTGACTTTAGAAAGGCTTTAAAGTACCCAGTAAGTCAGCTCTAGGAGGAGAGAACAAGAAACAAGCTTCCAACTCTTCAAGTCATATTAAAGCTATGCATATCCAGACTCCATAGTCTGAGACCATAGCCCAGGACCTAAATATCTATGGTTTAATTATAGTGATAAACAAGACTCAGTCGCATTAAAAAGATTGACTCTCAAGTCCTCCCTCCATCAGTATTCGATGAAAAACTCAATTAAGAGCCTGACAAAAGGCAGGTACTCTGGCTAGATGACTGGAGATGCTGGCTGTAATTGCCTGACAGGACTAAGAGATCTCTCTGCAGGAACAGAAGTATATGAGCATCAGATGTAGTGGTTTGTCACAAAACGTAGCCAGAATCTGGTTTTCAGGCTTTTTTAGATGACAGAAATGACAAATGCTTCAGGATTTCTGTAAAATGTAATGTCTTCTCTGGGGAGCATGCTTTGAGTGATAGAAGCCCAATTCTACCATGAGCAGGAGGGGTGTGGCATTATAATATAATGTTCTCAAGGGGTCTCAATGAAAGATTGTGATTTCTAGTTCTATTTTTAAATATATGGGAGATGTTCAGATAGTAACTAGAGTAATGCTCCCTATCAGCTGGTATGGGAAGACATCCTTCTGTTCCATAGATGAAGTGACTTTATGTCATCTCTAGAAAAAGATTTACTGAAACAAGCACAATTAGTTCTGTATGATCACTTCAGATCTACCCTTAAAATGAGCCTGCAGTGTTTGCCTGCCTTTGTGAGGTGAAGTGCAGGGTGGCCCACCTGTCTTACCACGGCACCTATCTTACCAAAGCCACCCTTATCACATGGCAAGAAAATCCTTTGTATGCAGCACTCTCCAGTGTCAGACTTTCTAACAATTTCTGTATATTTTCAGGAGCAAACAGCGAAAGCATCAGGAAAGCTTTTATCATTATTTTGCCCTTTTGAATGATCTTACTTTTTCTTTCTTTTTCTAGCAATGTCCTGTCCTGGAGGCAGCATCTATGAAAGCTGTGGTACTAGGTGTCCCTCTACCTGTTTGAACATCTCAGCAGTTGATTCCTGCAGTTCCTTACCAGTGGAAGGTTGCTTCTGTAAAGAAGGCTATGTCTTGAGTGGAGACAAGTGTGTGCCAGAAAGCAGCTGTGGTTGTGTGGATGAAAAAAAACAGTATCACCAGGCAAGTTACCTCAGACATTTAAATTTAAAAATAAAAATCAAGAGGGGGCCCTCATTCTGTATAACCATGAGAGAAAAAAAATGTTAATAACACTAACACAATTATTATTTACACTATTAATAATAACAAATAGGGATACTTTGCCAGTTTTCTTGACCTGTAAGCTGTGTGACTGCAATTGCCCGAATTATTGTGTATCAGGCACATTCAAATGCTAATAATTTGATTGTCCCTTATAGTATCACTTCCAAATTTGTCTTATAGTATATACTTCTACACTCTTTTCCTTGCTCAGCTGGATGAAAGCTGGTTCACCAGCTATCCCTGCAATGAACGCTGCACCTGCAAGGCTAATAACACCATCGTATGCACATCCTGGGAGTGTGGAGTTCGAGAGGAATGCAGTGTTCAGGATGGTGTGCTGGGCTGTCATTCCAATGGTGAGTCCTGCCTGAAAGTGGTCCTCAATGTCAATTCCATAGTTAGATCTTTCTTCTCCTTCTACCTTTATTATAAATCTATTTTCATATGTGTTAGCAAAGAAGTCCCAGCTGACTGCTGCCAATGCTAAGAGATGAAAAGACATGATGATCTGTCTTGCAAGCAGAGATCCCCTTCTGTTGTAGTGGATGTCAGCAAAAACTGATGCTACCCAAAAGCTTCCAGGGTCACTTGGGTTCTTTTTGGTAACATAAATTCGAGTACCACATCACCAGTGCTGCAAACTCCACATTTAGGAATAACTCATAAACGTGTTTCCTAGAGTCTAGGTGTGACTCTATGCAAGTGCATTAAGTATCTATGTATATAGATGCAAATTTATTGATTTTTATATTTGCACTTTATTTATATATGTAATTATGTATTTTTATACAGCTTAGTAGAGAAGCTTTGTATTACTCTCAGCTATGATACATCATAGTTACAACAACATATAGAAATGTATAAAGAGATTAATTTGCTGCTAAGTTGACAGTTTGTACATAATTTTAAAATTAAATTTAGGAGACACTTTTTGGGAATTTCTTATTTCCAAATAAATGTCATTGGCATAAACCTGAGACACGTCTGTGAAGGTTCGCCCACAAAATTATGATCAGGATTAGGTTGCTATACTAATGAAAACATCTTTGATCAGTTGTATCCATGACAAAATCCTGTCCAAAGTTCTTAGATCATTTTTTCACCTTTCAGGCCAAGCAACATGTCAAGTGGCAGGAGATCCCCATTATTTCACTTTTGATGGAATGATGTACACTTTTGTGGGTACCTGCACCTACACCTTGGTTGAGGTTGTCAACACCAATAGTGTCATACCTATAACCATCCTTGGCAAGAATGAAGACAGAGGATTGAGAGGAGCCACATACCTGAAAGAGGTCTACATAGATGTCTATGGTGTACGAATCACCCTTCAGAAAAGCCAAGGAATCTTGGTAGGTCACAGTGCTCTTTATTCTAGCAAAAATTATCTTAAAATTATTTCACTACAGTAGCTGTAGGGAAAAGGATCTTCGCATTTCCTAATGAATATGTAGGTGTATGCTTAATACTTGTGGGCACCTCCATCAACTGGATAATATGGGTAAATATAATTTATCACTAGTTCCCAAGGCTTCTGGTTTGGGTTTATTGTTCTATGGGCTGTATCTTGGAGATGGAGTCCAGAGCCTCCAAATTGGAGAACTATTGCCTGAGCTAAAGAATGGGGCTCCTCATTTCAATAGCTGTTGTCAACCCAATCATCTAGCTAACAAGAGCAAATGAAAAACAAGTCATGCTGTATTGGTCAGGAATAGCATGAGGATCCATGGCAGAACCAGAGACAGAGGATCCACCCTATAGGTGGGAAAGAACTTGCTCACTACTAGGGATCTTTCCAGCTTCCTGTTAAAGGCACAATCCTGCCCAGTTCTCCTCAGCTAAAAGGCTGATTCCTGCAACCCATAGTTGGAATATGTAATGGTGGAAGTGTAAATGTGCTACAATGGTCTTAGAGAAATCTTCAGCACTCCAAGGAATATAGATTGTGGGCAGAAAAATCTTTCATGGAAGAATGCCCATACTGAAAAATGACATGTCTCTCCAGTTGAACAATGAGAGAGTCTACACTCCAGTGGAGAACCGGTTGCGAGGCGTGTCCATTGGAAATGTTGGCAGATTTATAGTAGTGGAAACTGACTTTGGTCTGATAGTGAAATACGATGGCAATCACCATCTGGAAATCACCCTCCCACATTCTTATTTCTCAAAGGTAAGACTTAGTATGTAAACATCTGGTATTGTTTCAAAACCACTGCTTTGTGCATTTACTTTTGATTTCTTTCATTCCTGTGTTTTGCTATGGCTTTTTTTTTGCCTTTTTTTTTTTTTTTTTGGTGGCTATATTGGAACACTTTACTTTTCTTCCTTTCGATTTTTTTCTCTTCACAACGATTTCCTTGTGTTCCAAAGGGTAGTTAAAGAAAATGACCTGGCTAGGAGAATACATCCAGCTTACAGACTAAAACACCTTGAATCTTAGGGAATCACAGATTTATTGCAGTTTCTGTGTTATTTCTCCATGGGTGCAGTCAGACACTAGTGAGTATGTCTGAAATGTCTGGCAGAAGATTGGTTGTTGCTGGTGATTTGGTCACACCATTTCATAAGCAACGAATAAGAACTAATCAGGGAAGCTGATGTAGAACAGATTGTGCTTAGGATATGGTTCTTATTCATCTGCAGGTACATGGCATGTGTGGTAACTTCAATGATAATCGTGAAGATGATCTGTTGTTGCCTAATGGCACACTCATCAGTGGCTCACAGTTTGGAAATAGCTGGAAAGTGGAGGAAGACAGCGATGAAGGGTAAATGCAATTTCTTTTCATACCTTCCATCTTCTTTTGGGAAATAGTCTCCTTTCAATTGTTTTGACTGGTACTTTGCAACATGCAAGTAGTGTGTATGAGACGTTCCTCCTCTTGAATTTGGAGATCACCATGAGAGTGGTGAGACCCTGGAACAGGTTGCCCAGAGAGGTTGTTGAGGCCACATCCCTGGGGTTCTTTAAGTCCAGGCTGGATGAGGCTCTAGACAGCCTGATCTAGTGTGAGGTGTCCCTGCTCATGGCAGAGGGGTTGGAACTGGGTGATCCTTGTGGTCTCTTCCAACCCTGACAGATTCTGATCCTGTTTTTGCAGAGGGCTTAGTAGTGTTGGCTTAATGGTTGGACTTGATGATCTTAAAGGTCTCTTCCAACCTAAAGGATTCTATGATTCTGTGATCAAAAAAACAGCCATCACCACAGAAGACCACTGCACAGGCCAGAGGGAAACTACAGCCATTCTGTTGATCCACAGACACAACTGGAGAATTAGGCTTTGGGGCAGTCTACAGTGAGGGCATAGCCTCTGTTTAATTTACACTGAAAATACCTAGAGCAGGATGATGGTCCTGGGAAACAGAGAGGGTCAGCTGCTCCTTACAGGACAGGGAGTCAAGTGTGGTATCACAGCCTGAGTGGTAACAGTGGCCTGAGCAGCCAAGGCACGTCCCACACTGCCCGAGCAAGGCAAACAGGGAAGGCCCAAGGGTGTGTTCTGCCAATGACCAGGCCCAACAAAAATGATACCACCAGAAGGAAGATGAACCAATACACAGACTGTATTGTAGACAAGAAGGACATTCCATGAATGATCGCTGGGGGTACAAACAGATCAATCAGCTGGTACATAATCGACGCCACCCACAACAATCTCACAAAGGATGTAACTCAGCCCACAACAGGTGGTACAAACAGAGCCCCGAGGTTGCCCACAGTTGGCATGGGAAACAGCCAGACCAGCAAGCTGAACACGTAAGAGAAAGGTGCCCCCATGGCGACTCTCACCCGATCAGCCCGCGTTCACAAAGGTCTAAACAGACCAGGGCCCAGCTCCAGGGAGAGTCAGGAGGTCTGCCCTGAACCAGGAAGCTCTGTGGAGTGCACCCCACCGACAGACACTCCTGACTCCCTGCAAGTGGTCCCAGCTTTTATCCCCAAGCAGGGACACCTGACCTTTGTCAACTCAATGGGGGACCCCTGGAGCTCCTTTCCCTTCTGGCTCTCCCTGCAGGGCCGGCCGCACCCTGGGGGGAAGCTATAAGGCAAACTCACCACCTCTGTATGAAGGGCTGTGGGAATCGCCCATATGTCAACCTTAATTCAGGGCTCAGACCCCAGTATTTCAGGGTGGGATCCAGGGTCACCACAAAAGCTTGCAGTGATGAGACAGGTCGAAGTTCATGCTGAGAAGTCAATCCTATGACTATGGTGAAGTACAATGAAAGTAATGAGGGTCAGACACAAGCATGGTGATCACCAGGCAGGTCGACTTTTGCCCAATCTTTCAATCATAGAAGACTGTATTTGCTAGCATTATTTGTTTAATACCTTTCAGTAGAAAAAAAACTTCTTCATTTCAGTCTCTGTTTTACATATGCCTTTGAAACTTAAATGCATCTGTGTCTGTGCTTTTGTGCAGTTGTTTACCAGACTTAAGAGAAGATGATTTTCCTCCTTGCACTGCTGAGAATAAACCAGTCATTGAAAGCCAGTGCAATGTCCTAAAATCAGACAAATTCAAAGCATGTCACAAGCTAGTCAAACCTGATGACTTCATACAGATCTGCATCTATGACATGTGCCAGTATGATGGAATGAAGTCTGCCCTCTGTGACATAGTTCAAGTCTATGTGGACACCTGCAGGAATCATGGAATCACCATCAAATGGAGGAGTAGCACATTCTGCCGTAAGTGTACAAGCAAGTAAAGAATCTGAAATTTGGATGGCTAACAGCATGAAAACAAATCAGCGGAATAATTATTTAAAAGAAAATGACACCCAAATTCTCACAAAACACACTTCTAGTATTAAGATTTTATGACTCCGTTGTTGCACTGAACTGTGTTCAAGTTTAGCTAAACCCAGTGATAACTCAGGACTAGACAAATTGTGGATAGGAATGTGGAATTAGAATTGCTTTAGTAGCCAAATGAGTGCCCTAAGATATTGCAACGAGCCTAAAATTGAGAAATAATACAACCAGAAAACTAAAACCAAGTGGTATACTCTGTTAGGACACAGGGCTCAACGACTCTCTTTCTGTTTTGAATGAAAACTGGTAATTTGTCCAGTTGCTTATTAAGGGCCACATTCTCAGAGAAATTTCCAGTGTGTGTGCCTCACTCCACCCATTCAACAAAGCTACAAATTAGGTAAAAATGAGTGATTATACAGTGGGTTTCTTTTGGGTTTGGTCTGGTTTTTTTTCACAATTTAATATTGCACTGTGGAATTAACTATCACATAATATTGTGGAGGACAAAACAATGAAGTGGTTAAAAAACAGGCCAGATGAATGTTGAATAGGTCCATCAGAAATCGTAGTTGCCTCCTTGCTACAGGTGGAGGAAAACACTAGACAAATGAACCCTTTGTCTTGTTACCTTGGTTTTTGAACTGTTCCTTTATGCATTTCTGGTCATTGGCATGCTCTAGCATGTTTATGTCTCTGATTAAGCTAGATATATACCTGGTTTGCATCACTGGAGGGTTGAAGGAATTTTCTGTAAAGATTCTCATTTCTAGCACTGCTCGAAGAAGCATTTGCAGCTGAACTGGAAATTTGAGTCTGAATGATTTAGCACCAGGTGCCACCAGTTCAGGCAGTTCTATAATAGAACTGAATAAGCAGCTCCAGAGAGTGTTTTGGTTTTGTTGGTTTCTTAAATAAAATATAAAATATAAAAATCAAAAGTTGACGTTCAAAAGGAGCTATTAAAAGACAATTCCATACCACCTTTCAATAGGCCAGGTTGTAACTTTCAGGCAGACAAGTGTTTGCCGTGCACTTTTTAAAATGTATTTAATAATGCTGGTTTTGTTCTCTTCACCCACACAGCATTGCCCTGTCCACCCCACAGCCATTACACAGACTGTGTCTCCACCTGCCCATCAACATGCAATGACATTTTTGCTTCTTCCCTTTGTGAGAAGACAGAAGAGTGCACAGAGGGCTGTGAGTGTGATGGTAACTATGTGCTCAGTAATGGCAAGTGTGTACCTCTGAGCGCTTGTGGCTGCAGGGATGATGACAACAATTACTACAGTGTAAGTAGTTTGTCTGTGGAGCAATGCTTTGGCTGCAAAACTTGTAGAAACTTGGTCTTCTGTCTGTCTGAATGAGTGAGAAAAATCTTCAGGGTCTACCTCTTAAATACCTGACATCTGATTCATAAAAGATGCAGGCTCAGGTGTTAGGAGGTGCAGGAACTTGGTTCTTTGGACCTGAGGCCAAAATGGAGGCATACTCAAAATTAGTCATTTTGTCAGAGTCCTCAGACAGTCTGTGCTAGTGCTGGTTTGTGTTCAAATTCTCACATCAAAGATAATAAGATAAATGGACTGGATTTCCCCCTCCCAGGCTCTTGGTGAGACTGCACCTGGACTGAGCAGTTGCAGAATTGCCAACTGGCCACGTTGCATATAGCCAGCTCCCACACCCTTTACTATTGAACTTTTATTGCATTGCAAAGCTAAGCACCTTGATAACATATTATTAATACAACTTCTGTCCAGGCTGGGGAGACCTGGATAACTCCACACTGCACCAGAAGATGCCAATGTCAGAAGAACGGTGTCATCAATTGTAAGAGCTATGGCTGTGATTCTAAAGAAACCTGTGTGATCAAAAATGGAAAATACAGGTGCAATCCAACAGGTATGTGCAGGCAGGTCTCCACTTGGTGTTCCATGAAGGCTGGAGAAGGAGGAAGGATGTGGGTGTCCATTCTTCCTTCCATAGCATTTCCTAAGAAGGCAGCTCTGACAGTGTTATTGAGGACACATTATTGAACAAGAATAGCTCTCAGAATAAAAAGTTCCAGTACAAGACAGAGAATTTGTAGAGGAAAGTAGAAGAGTGTGAAAATTTACTTACGTCTAGAAATTTGGCAATTCAGATGATTAGTTTAAATTTTAAAAAATAAATAAAAAAAATTGCACTGCATGTGCCAAACCCAAAACTCAGATACATTGGTGAATCCTTGGCAATGATCCTGGTTGTTCCATTGCATATTGATTTGAGAACAGAAAAAAATAAAGGCAAAAAAAATAAACCAGTAAAATTGTTCAAGAGTTGCTTTGGCCAAGTTATTCCCATGTTCTGTAGGTAAACTGGATTGTTTAGAAGACCCCTTATTGCCTCATGACCCTATACTTCAGTTTTGAAGTATTGCATGGTGCAGGTCCTACTGTACTGATGATCAGCACAAGAACATAATGCAAACCCAGATTCCACCTGCTCCAGTTTGGCAAAATACCACAGCAGAGGCACCCTGGCAGTCTTAAGAAGAGACTTGATCCTGGGATAATGGTTTACTCTGTGCTTAATGGTCAAGGAGAATACTGAGATGATAGTTGCTGCATCTGGTTGTTAGGTCTGATGAACTCACTGATCAGTTTAATAACCTCAGAAGAAATAAGTGTGACAGCAGTAAGCTAGCCAAAATTAGACATTGCTTTTCGTGTTCCAATAATTTTGTAGCAACACACTGCAGAGGATTATGAGACTGACACCTCCAAGAGCCAACTGCAAGCCACGCTGTGTGGCAGGGACATTCCTCTGCAGAGGACCAGCGTGCGCAACGTGGTCTCTGTAAAGCCTATAAACCCTCATGTTCTGCTCCGGCTCAGCTGGCTTACGTTGGTTCTCAGCAGAGGAATGGGGTCTCTGGACACCTCTCTGTTTGAGTGCCCGTTCACTAGGGTGATGCCTGAGCACCCATCTTTATTTTAAGAGACCTGCGTGGCAGCAGCAATCATTTCAATCTATCTAACTTATTTCAAACTGATCCATGCATGCGATCTGGCACACTCACGTTCAGCCTGGAGGGTAACGAAGCTCTTCCCCTTTAGGCTTTGGGAAATGCCGGATCATGGGTGACCCACACTACATCACCTTTGATGGTCTGGTGCACCACTTTCAAGGCAAATACACGTATATTCTGGCTCAGACCATCCCTGACCTCCCGGACACTCTGACGCCGTTCAGCATCGAAGGCATGAACTACCCTTTCCGACGAAGCCGCCGCATCACTTACCTGAAGGAGCTTCTCGTCAACGTTTACAACCACACGGTGCGATTCAGGCAGAACAAGCAGCTTGTGGTAAGTCTCTCACTGACTGCAGAGCACAGAGAAAGGCCCACCCTTGGAGCAGAACACCTCTGAGTAATAGATGTCTGTTTTGAAGGATTTAAGTATTAAAGCTAACTGTGTTATTACAGCAGTGCTATAGGGCAACACAAACATGATTTTTTCAGTTGTGACAAGTCTTTTTTCTCTGTAGCTATGAAGGATATTATTCTACTTCAAAAAAAAAATGAATAGAGATTCAGGAATAAAACACCAAAGATCCCAAGACTTACAATAAGCCATACAAATTTTTACCAGTGGTAGGGAAAAGTGTGAATTATGCTAGTAAAAAATCATTTCCTTCCTATTGCTGTGTAAGAGTTTACATAGCTCATATATACATATTTAGCTTTAGAACAGAAATCTCTCAGGATAATATGAAAATCCAGATCTGTGTCCAGATCACTTTACTCAGTATGAGATTTTGTTATCTTTAAAAAATTGAATACTGAGATTTTTACCTCGTTAAGTTATGTGATATATTTGTCATAACACCAGAGAAGTGGAGTGTTCGCTTGTAGCATCGACCTGTATTGAAGCCAGATTTGAATTAATCTTATATTTTATGACTTGTAACTTATTCTTTCCCTGTTAGTTGGATGGTGTGAGGGTGAGACCCCCTGCTCATCCTCATGAAGGTATTCATATATATCAGAGGACAACAAGAATTTACCTGGAGACAGACTTTGGCTTATACCTGAGCTTTGATGGCAATCAAAATGCAGGTAAGTGACACTAAGACATTGTGCGGGAATATTTAAGCACTGTCTCAAAAAATGTTCTCATTCCAAAGGAGATCTAAACCCAAGGCAAAATTATAAACCTAGGGTCTGTGGACCTTTGTGATTCAAACTTCCAGAAAACTAAACCAGTAACTGTTTCCTAGGAGCCAGAAAAAAACATAAAACTGGCCTTTCTTTATCTGGATCTACCTGAGCTTAGGAAAAATGAGATCTAGAGTCAGAATGTTTTACTTTTTTTCATGTTAAGTAGGGCCTGATGATAAAACCAAAAGCGCATCACTTAAATGGCTGATTAGGATGATGGGGTGAAGTCTGGATTTGCCCCTTTGCCAGCTTAACCCAGTTATAAGATTGAGGTCTTGAAACTGTGCAGCTGTGAGAGCATCCTTTTGCCTGTTTCCTCTCAAGCCTGTTCCAGATAATCCCATTCTTTCCTGTTTCTCAGCAGGTCTCTTACATCACATGTACACAACTCACTCATGCCAGTTGAACACACATTGCCTCCTCTGTTCAAAGCAGAGTTATTCCTGATTTACAATAGAATGCAGCCATGTTCTTTCTGAGTGTATGGTGAAAGATCTGTTTCACAGGAGTCTTGTTTCTCAACAACGAAGTGGATTGTAAATGAAGGACAAAAAGTGGGTGGTGCATTCAGTTTGTTGTAAAGTAGTAAGCAGGATGCATTAAGAGTGCTGAGGTGGTGATATCACGTTAAATAATACCTTACTGGCTGCAAGAAATTACTTTTTCATGATCCATGTTTTGGGATACAAAACCAGCCCTGAGAATACATGTATGAACATATATTTTCAGGCCTATGTTCAGACCCCTGTACAAGGCCCATGTCACCTTGCCAACTCTGATCTGAAACATGAAATGTGGTACTTGCATTGCTTTCCACCTATTCCACACACTCAGATGCAAAGATTTTTGTGTGATGGCTTTTTTTTCTTTTCCTTCTGAACTTCCTTAGATATAAAGCTGGCCAACACCTACAGAAACAGAGTGGAAGGCTTGTGTGGTGATTTTGATGGGAGACACAGAAATGACTTCACAAATCCAGATGGTGTTTGGGTGAAGAACGTGAATGTATTTGGTGAGAGCTGGAAGGTTCCTCTGAAAAGAACAGCCTCTCGTCTCAGGTGCTTCATTTTCTACTTCATATTCACAACAAGCACAGACACTGGAAAAGAGTGAACTAGCCATAGTTAATATCCAGGAATAACTACACTGTCTTATTTCTGGTCTTTCTTCTTCCCTTGGTCTGTGTGCAGGGACTTTTCCTGCTCATCACTGAGGTGAACAATCAGTGCCCTTCTGTCTAGCCAGAAGAAGACTGAACTATTAGCCCATTACATCCTTCCTCCCTTCCTCCCTCCCTTTTTTCCCTCCCTTCCTCCCTTCCCTCCCTTTATTGAATAGATTGGATGAGAAGACACTGGACGAAGCCTGTGTCATGCCAAATTTTTAAAGATATGATTGCAGATATTCCTTTTGATTTAAACACCCATAAATCTCTGAGATGGTAGGAAGTGTTCTAGCATATCTTTGACTTGCTTCGTCTATCTCCTTCCCATTCTGGATAGATCATGAGGGAGAAATAAGCTTACACTTACACCACAAGTAGAAGTACTCTTGTGGTGTTACTTAAAGAGTAGTACAATGAATACTGGATGTCCAGAGAACTGATGGTTTCATAATGACTTCATTACAGACGAGATGTCAGCTCAAATGATGAGTCTGAGGAGGAACCAGATCCAGGGCTCTTCCAAGGCTGTGACGAAAATCAGCTGGGGCAGGAAAACACAACTTCAAGATGTCAAATCCTGACTAACTCAAATGGTCCTTTCACAAATTGTCATTCTACAGTCTCACCATACTTCTATTTTACGTAAGTGTCTACTCCAGTTGTTCTCCCCATCTGCCAGATCATTTTGGTGGTAGTTTATGACGAGAACTTTGCATCTTCTGTCTCCAGGATATTAATAGGAACTGAGTGAAGTGAGTGTCTTTGGAGAACTGGCCACAGTGATTCCATTATTGATATACTTAAATTCCCTTAATTATTTTTAAATAATTGTGATGATCTGTCTATTCATCTATTTAGAGTTTCAGTTTCCTGTTAGCTCTAGAAAGTAGCTTTTCCCCTTTCCTACACATATAAACCAGCAGTGTTAAACATTAGACTTGTAGACTGTGGTTTCCAGTGTGCTTACAATTCTCATTCACATTCTGTAAGAATTTAGTACCTGGCTCTTCATTCCTTTCTAGCAATTCCAGCTTCATAATTCATCATTAGCCACAAAATGGCCAAGTAGCTGCCAGTTTTCTTTAGTCGTATAGTTGTACTTAATGATTAAAGATAGAGAATGCCCACCACAAAGTCCCTCTTAGCTGTGAGAAGCATGTGAAGGTATCTTACACCAAATAAACTGGACCCCTGGCTTCAATGTATATCCTGATTCTTAACATAGGCCCATTTTTCTCCCTACTCTAAGAATTTGGCTGGGCAGCCTGTTCTGCCTTCTTAGTGGTTGCCTGATAGTCTGACATGGTGCATACTTGCAGATCCAATTCATCTCAGATCTCAATGCTTCTAAAAATCAGGCCATAGATATTCAGATGATGAGCAAAGCTAAGAAGGTAGCACTGGCAAACAAACCCTGGGTAAAACACAATTCTGTGTCAATATTCAGGCATATGGGCATGGGGAGGGCACCCATGTATTGAAAATGCTAGCCCAAAACAGAAGCAGATACCAAAGAATAACTTCCTGTGACAAGCAGTCGGGGACCTGTTCACTGCTTGTTCCTATACCTTACGTGTTAGCAGCAACTGCACAACATGACCTGATCTTCCCAATCATGTGGCTGGGGGGCTGTTTCTGGTTTCCTGTCAGCCAGAGAGAGGGAAATGGAACTAACTCAGGAAGAAAAAGAGCTGAAATAAGCAGCAACAAAGGTAATGGAATGTTTTCTCACATTGCACGTAGGAGCTGCCTGTTTGATATGTGTGTAGCAGGAGATGATGATGCCACCTTATGTCACAGTCTGGAGGAATACGTGCTGGCCTGTCAGCAGAATGGAGTCAGGATGGAAGGCTGGAGGCAGCACACTGTTTGTGGTAAGCACAGGAAGAACCACACAGGAAGTATGTTTTCTGCCTAAAGGGCTCCCAAAATCTGAGATTTGAGGCTTTTCTTAGATATGCCATCTATCAAAGCTTCTCAGGGAGTAAAATCATGTTGACTGACACTTCAGTCACTGTTCACAGGTCTGCAAGCACATTTGCTCTTCTGACCTCTTCTGTGTCCTGCGTTAACTTTCACATTTAGACCCCAGCTCAGACAGCTACTTAGGAAAGCAGAGCTGCCATTTCCCCTGTCATCACAAGTTGTGTGGGAGAACAAAATATCCCCATTCCCAACTGGACGAAAACGTAAAAATTGTGGGGACCAACACAAGTCACAAATCTGATGAAAACCATTTCATTCCAATCTCTTTTTAAATCTACAAAATATTCTCTTTTTTGACTGAAATTTCAAGATAAAAAAAGATTCAGCTGAAAACGCCAAATCTTGCAGACTAAAAAATACTGAAATAAATTTTTATCATAATCTCAGACCCTCCTCTCCAGTATTTTTTTTTTTTTTAAGCTGGGAGCTGGATCAAACCATACTTGCCCTACATCCCCCATGGATGGATGACTTTGTATTCCTGGTGAAACACAGTTCCCAGAGCTATGAAACAGCTCTGGTACTTGCCGGGATGGTCACCCTGAACGCGTAAGAAGTTATCTGAGATCAGTTAACACCAGGAATGACAGCACAGCATACAAAGAGCTTTGATGATGCATTTCCTGACTTTGGAGTGCTTTACTTACAACTTCAGTACTACTATATATGTATCCACATCTCAGTGTATGTGTGTTCATCATATTGCTTCCTACAATTCGATAACCTCCTCTGGATCTCAAAGAGCAGTGGGTAAGTAATGCACAGCAGCCTCCTATAACTGGCCTCTCCTTATTTTCACAGGTGTATCGTGTCCTGCCAACAGTAACTACAGCTCATGCATGTCTGCATGCCCAGCATCCTGCAATGACCTGACCAGCCCTTCTGAGTGTGAATCACCTTGTCTTGAAGGCTGTGAATGTCTCCCTGGCTATGTTCTTAGTGGTTTTGACTGTGTGCCTTACAAACAGTGTGGCTGCACATACCTTGACAAATATTATGAGGTACAGTCTCTCTGTAGGTTAGACAGCTCTGCAGCACCAAACAGTATTTATTGCTGCTAGTTATTTTGTCATTCTCCTCGGTGTGTAATTTTGCATTAGAAACAAAAACCATTTCATAAAATTCTGGTATCTGGAAGAAGGGAAGAATAGGTCACTTGCCCTGCCTCTCAAACTCTGCTTGACAGAATACTCAAGGCAGGCACCAAGAGCAAGTATATGATTACACTATGACCTCCATGTTAATTCTCCACATTTATTACAGTAAATGATAGCCCCATAGGCTCTAAGGTTTACAAAACACAAGTTACAGAAAAATTCTGTCAGTCACTGTGGTCCCTCTCCTCCCATACCTCTTCCCTGTGGTATGGCTGGGTTGAAAGTCTGCAGATCTGGCTATGACATGAAGAGAGCCCCACACAAGGCTGAATTCTAAGGAATACAGAGAATCTTCCACTGTCACTGCAGGATAGAACAGCTCCATCATCTCACAGGTTTCTGTTTTTACACTGGAGATTTAGTGCAGCCCTTGAATTTCAAAGACTTGTATTAGTAAAGTGCTTGCCATTATTTTGTACAAACAAAAAATAAATCTGCCCTGTTGCCATTCATCAGGAAGGCATCAGAGAGAGTAGCACAGGGCCTCACTGCTCCATTCATGGGTTTCCTGCCTGATTTTATTTTATATTTTTCAACACTTAACTTCTGTCTTCCAGATTGGAGAAATATTCACCACTGATGACTGCTCTCAGAGATGCCAGTGCACAGAAAGCTCCAGTGTCTCCTGCTCTAACATAGCGTGTGGATCTGACGAGATCTGTGGCATTTCAAACTTCAGCCGTGGGTGCTACAGGAGTGAGTCAACCACTATCACATTGTCTTCCATGCTAAGATGTCCTGACTTACTGCTCACAGGGCATGGCTGGGTGGGGTATAGCTGCAACAGCTTGTGTACAGAAGAACAGAAAGTGGGGAATCTTGCTCTGATGTTTCATTGTAGAAACAGTGTTTCATTCCCCTGTTGCTGTTGTCAAGTACAAGCAATGTGCCTTAAAATGCAGGGGATGTCCAGCATTAGGAATCAGTGTAATCTAAGCAAGAACAGTTCTCTCAGGGTTGGATTATCTGAGGGTCTGAAGCATTTCTCCTTCCTTTTTGCTAGGTGGACCATGTATGCCAAATCCTTGTAAGAATGATGGCATTTGCTCTGAAGCTACCAGCAACACCTCCCTTCCCTTCTACTGTGAATGTCCAGAGCTGTACACAGGAGCAACCTGTGAGGCTGAAAATAGAGGTAGTAAATCCATTTTAGATTTCATTGTCTGCATTACATGCACCACTTTCAAAAATGGGTGTCATGATGGAGAAGATTGAGCTTGCTCTTAATTTCCATGCTGTAGATTACTAACCCAATGGTTGAGAACCTGTGGTCGTCCAGGCAGAAGGGGGTCAGATTCTCCAGTGGAGAGGTACTAGAAGGCATGACAGCAGGGCTATGTAGAGCATACAGGACCTGGGTCTCAGACCACTCCAGAAAGCCACATTCATCAGAGAGCACAGTATAAAACAAGTGCATAGGCAAGGGTTGGGAAAAAATTTCTGTTCACAGTATGATTAGCCTTCACTGACAGCACTCTTGTTTCCTCTTTGGTCAAAGACCTTATCACAGAAGCTCCTGAAGACCATACAGTTGCCATTGTCATTGGAGTTGTGGCAGGTGTGGCTGTTATCATCATTCTCATCTCCTCTGCAGTGTATCTGTACAGGTAAGGCTTTTCCCAGCTTTGCCACGTTCAGCAGAGTCAAGACACACATATCCTTTTTAGCACCTAAAAACATAAAAAATCCCATTAGTCACTTACCTGCAGGACCAGAAAGGAATTACAGCATTCAGGATCTCATCTGAGCAATGTAAGGGAATACTGAGCTTTTTCTACAGAAATGTACACATTCCATTCCCTTTACACAGGGCACATGCATCACTGTAACAAAACTTGGGCTTCTCCAAAATCTGACTCCATTCATGCTCACACAGTTATTTGACCTCTCACTAGAGACAGAAAGTTGTAATGGTTGTTCTTTTTTTCCCTTGTACAGAAAGAAGACAAAGATGGATACTGCTGTTATATCAAGGGATTCTTCTTTGGAACAGTCCAGGGATGACAGAGTGCATGAGCAAGATTATGGCTACATTGTGAACGCTGCATTTGATCAAAATTAACCCCAAAGTACATACCTATAGTTAGCAACATTTTTACAGTTCATTTGTTACTTTCTGTTCTTGTATTTTGATAGTACTTCTAATACTTTGATAAAAAAAATAATAAATTAATTATTGCATTTGCTGAAAACTTTTGACTTTTTCATCCAAAATGAAAATCAGACCTCATGTTGTAGACCCAAACTGAAATATGTCCTAACACACATAGAAGACTGTGTTGTCTTCTGAGGCTGTTTGAAAAACACAAAGCCCAGACAGACCTCTGATAGATGTACAAACCATAGACTGATGCAGTCAGAATTAATTACAGCATCTTAGGCAGGCCTTCTTGAGATTGTCTTACCCAAATCCTTCCATGGGGAGAGGATTAGCTGACTGAGATGGGGACAGTTCTTGTACCTCCTCTGGCAAGGCACATCCAACTTGAGGAGAGAAATATAAGCCACCAAATTCACTTGGTGACAGGCGTAGTAAAAAGAATGGTCCCTGTTGTCCCCCTTGGGAGGACAGCACCAAAAGAAGGGGTTGTTTGAAAGAGAGCTGCCTCCTTGCTGTCAGGGCAGAGGGGACAAGAAGTAGGGTGTCATCAGCCCCCTGCCTGTAGGGGCTAAGCAAGAGCAATAAAAACAAAATCTTTCTGAAGAATGAGATCCTGTCTTAAACTCTCCTTGAGGTTTCTGCAAACTCTGATGCTGCCACACTCTGATGAATGTGGGTAGAGTTCTGCTCCACCGCAGTCCATACTAAGGACCACCTTCTACAGCCAGAAGATCAAAGGTGCTTGAGGCAAGGCCTAATAACATGTAGTGTGAGAGACACCCACTCCATGACCACTCATAAGGCTCAGGGGACCAAGGCACTGTCTGGGCCTTGTCCAAGCCCTGAACAAATTCTCAGTGCTATGAGTGAAGCTTTGAGACATTAAGAAATGAACCATTACGGTTTCTCTGATGCTTTTCCAGTTCTTCACAGATTACGGTGAGGAACAATGTGGGCTTTCTGTTGTCCCTGACAGAATGCTGGTTGTTACTTACCCTTTCTCCCTTCCCTTGTATCCATAAATTCATTTGTGCTGTTAGCCAGAAATGTATTTGTAACCTCCATGAACAGTTAGGTGAATAAAAGACATTTTATTCTGGTCCGTTCAAGAACGTGCCAGCTGCCCATACACGCACAGCGCAGCTCTTTTGGAGAGGACATGAACGGACAGGGGCTTTCAGCCCCGTTACATAATGAAAATGAATCAGCACAAGAGACCAACTCACGTGCAAACGAACTGTCAACCTGATGCTGGAATCTCACCGCAGTTACAGAAGCATCTCTGCTGCCTGTGCAGCAGCAGGTTCCCACGACACGCCGGCGCTCGCTGACAGCGCGATTCTGCCCGTGCTGAGCCGTGCTGGAACACCGGCCAGCCCCGGCCCCTCAGGATCCCAGCCCGGGCTGCTGCAAACGGCTGCGCCCGGCTGAAGCAGAGTTCCAGGTTTCCATGGACATACCTCCTTCCCAATACCAGAAGAATTGCTTTGGCTTTCCTCTGCAAAGCTTTGCAAATACTTCAGGCTTGAAACAGAGGGATAATGCAGAACTGCAGTTCCATGCTCCACTGAATTAAACAGTTTGTGTCACGAGAAGCCAGAACGGTGACAAATCTCCTGCCGTTCTGATCTGGCTCACCTGACTGTTGAAACGCTGGGCGTGCAATACAGTGCTTAGCTCAACTCATGCCGAGGACAGCGTTGCTGGAGGTGAGCTCTCCTTTTGAGCACGCTGTGACTGCAACAGCCTGGGAGACCGGCTGCCTGCTCAGCTGTGCTCGCCCCTCCGCTCAGAGAGCTCTTTGCTGGGCACAGCCATGAGACTCCTCTGATGTCCTGAAGGAAACTCCTCAGCCACAACCCGAAAAGCCACCCTGAAAATCTCTCTGCCCTAAAATGGCCATTGGGATGGATTTACTTTGAGCTCCACCTCCCTGGCTTCTCCTCGCCGGGGAAGAGGAGAGCCGGCAGCACGCCCTTTCCCTCCGGAGAGGCTTCCAGCCGAGAGCTCCGTGGGAGCGGGGCAGGCGCTCCGCCCGGCAGGGAGGA